CTCTCTCTCTCTCTCTCTCTCTCTCTCTCTCTCTCTCTCTCTCTCTCTCTCTCTCTCTCTCTCACGCGCGCGTTCGACGCAGGGGCAACGTGTTTGTCGCATTTGTCGCGTTTGGGCTCACGCGGCAAATGAGGTGTGGCTGAACGCAAACTGCCTTTTTTTGTACCCGTTCCCCCTGCCCCCCCCCCAGTTGCCCGTCGAAGCCCGATACCCCGCGAACGCCCTGCTCGACATCGGGCCGATATCACGCGGGGTTTTATTTTTTGTAATTACAAAAAAAAAAAAAAAAAAAACTGAATGCATGAGGTGGTACCCAACAAGGGACTCTCCCACCCCACACCTTCGGAAACCCGACACCCCCCCCAACCGCCCGAAAGTCGGGTTCGCGGACCCCATTCATTCGCGTCCAACGCGCGTTTGAATGGGAGTTTAACGCGAATTCAACGCGCGTTCAATTTTTTAACGCGGAACATGCGTTGAATCCGATTTCGGACACACAGAGTGTAGGCCTGCCAAAATTATGTCCCTGCAACGGCAAATCTTACTCGTTGTTTACCTACAAACGATTAGTTGGTCGATCACTCCCACTTGGAACAACAGGGCCGTGCCCTCCCTCGGTGCTCGCGATGTCTGTCAGGCTTCCCAGCAAGGAACAAAGCAGAGAAATAGAACACGTCTTTCTGCAATGCCCAGCAACAATCCTTACCTGAAGATGGTGGGATAGAGTGTGGCAGCAAATAGTTCCGGATCATCGGTGGCCGTGGGAATGGCTCGCCATTCCCACGGGCCACTGCCCACCTCTCCAAGGGGACATTTTTGCCTGGAAACATGTTCCACCTGGGCCGAAGAACGGTCCTATGGGTTCTATGGTGGCAACACTGTGCTCGGGTCTTCGACCAAGTTAGAGTCCAGGGAGAGGAGATGCTTGAACAATTTAAACAGCACATTCAACTAGAACTTACGTACAAATGGAAGTCAGTCAAACTCGCTCTTGATACCCTTCACAGAGAGGCTAGTGCAGTTCTCTAGGGAGTGTTTGGGAGGGGATAGAGAGGGGTGGGTAGCAGAGGTGTGCTGGTCAGGGGATTGGGATAGAAGAGATGATGGGGAGGAAGGACAGGAAAGGGAGGTAGTGCCACGGCATTATCGATTGAGGTTCAAAGACTGGCTGACCATTGACTCTAGTGTCCCCTTGAGACCAGCAGATTTTTCAGATCGGTTCCCACCCCACCCACTGTCCCTGGAAGTACGACTGTTGTGATATCCCTTCGTCGTCCGCGAAATGGCAGAGTATGGACCTGAAATCTGGTGACAGCAGCACCACTCCCTCAAGCTTGTAAATGTGCGAACTTTCATCTATGTATTTAGAAAGGGACGATAAGCATGGGCTACGCCCACAGCCACAGGACAAGGTAGACTGGGAGAGAAATGGGCAGGGAGACGCAGGGCCCCACTGGTGCCCCCAGTGGCCCCATGGTGTCTCCAGGCCAGGATTGCAGGGTTTGCCTTCTTGACTAGATAGTTTTTCACAAAAAAAGAGGGCTAGAAAGGGTGGGTGGATACACATGGAGAGCCCTTCCACAACCTGCTCAGTCAATCCTCTGGAATCCAGAGTAATCAATGCTGGCAAGCGTTTTCCAGTCTCGTTTTTTCGGATACTGTCGAATGTTTCTGTATTATTTCTGCATAAGGGACGCTGGACCCGTTTTCCAGCAGGTGATGCTCCCTACCAATAGATGGAGCCCCTCCCCAGGTGCTGGCGGTGGCTGCTCTTATCAGCACCGCCATCACTGAAGGGGGTGTTTTAAAATAATAATAATAATAATAATAATAATAATAATAATAATAATAATAATAATAATAATATTAAATCCACTGTAGATTCTTATGAGTTAGGAAAGGGGACTTACAGGAGCCGCTGCACATTACGATGCAACCGCCGCATCACGACGAGCGCTAATGCTCTGAGCGATCGCAGCCGGCAAGGCCCGGCTGCCCTTCGTCCCACTGGCTGTGCCACCGTGTCAGGTGGTATGTGGCTTGGCTACGGGTCCCGCCACGCGTCACGCGCGTGCTGACGCGACAGATTTTATGATCTATTGGCGGGGAAGTAGGAGAATATCGGCGTGAAGAAGCGGAGCGACGGTCGATACATAACATACACGACGCGGCAGGGAATTCGGGTGATATCATGGCGTCGACCGAAGATCTACAACTGTGGGCGGATACATGGTTGGCCGAGCTGGAGGATGGGGAGCGTCAGATGCAGGAGATATTACGGGTGATGTCATCTCCATCAAATCACCCATTACAGGGCCAAGGGGGTGAATCTTTAATGGCTGATTGGATGGAGGATAAGATCCAGCAGTTGCTGGAAATTATCTGGGCTTTCGAGGAGGGGCCAGATCCGGGGCTTGATGACTTCATCGATTGGGAGCGGGAGCGTGGGATCGTGTGCAGATGCTACGATCTCCTTCGGGAAGGGCAAGCACTCTCTGACAGCTATTGTGTCAACGACAGTGAGGGGGATACAACAACATCGACAATATCGACAGTGAAGACAGGAGAGAACGTCAGCGACAGCGTGGTCAACGATGATAAGATAGTGGAGCCGGTGAGTGTCAATATTGGTAGCGACAACAATATGATCGGGGACGATACAACGGCGGGTAGTGAAGAAGAGGGCGACAGCTGCGTTGACAACAACAATGACAACAACGACATTAACGACAACACCTACATCAACAAGATCAACAGAGTCAACACTTCCAACAACAACAACAACAACAACAACAACAACAACATCAACAGGAGCGACAGTTGTAACAACAACAACGATAACATCGACAACAACAACAACAACAACAACAACAACAATCATTTCAAGAATAGCATTTACAGGGTCCTTGGTGCCAAAGGGATTGACAACAACAACGGTGCTGTTGGGATGGGTGGTGACGCTGACAATAACAGCACCGACAATATTGACAACAACGATTACGATGGCTATGGCTGGGATGACATGGACGATATGAGGATCGACTGCGGCTGCAGGGGGATGATCAGAGTTGTTGGTTGGCAGCGGATGGGCGTGGGTTAGCTGGTGGTGATTGGTCTTGCCCAGCCCGCAATACCAATTAGGACGGGAGGTGGACTGTTTAGGTTTTTCCTGTCATCCCTGTCTTGTGTCTAATGATTACGTACGGTTGGAAGAGCAGTTAATCCCCTCTTAGGACGGCAATCGATGCTGCTCATCACTACACATCGGATTAAGTACATACTCTATCAATCATCACAAACTTACGATTGTATAATCAAATGATTTCCATGTTCAGGGACGCTGGACCCGTTTTCCAGCAGGTGCCGCTCCCCACCAATAGATGGAGCCCTCCCAACGGCGCTAGTGGTGTCTGCTCTTATCAGCACCCCTAGCGACAGCTCGGGTAGTTTCTTTCTAAAAAAAAAAAAAAAAAAAAAAAAAAAAGGAAAGGGGACTTACAGGAGAAGGGCCAGGCTGAGAGAGGACAGGTACGGGTGAAGATGGTTGAAGTTAAAGAAGGGAAGGGGAGGAGTGTAGGGAGTAAGTGGGAAATGGGGGTCCGTTGGGGGAAGAGGGAGAAACCTGGGGAGATCTAGGGAGGGGATAAACCACGGAGAGACAACTTGAATGATGCACAGGCCTAACAAAGGGCATGATAACCAACCTAAAGGTGGCTGGTGGGAGCCAGCCGACTCTGGGCTCCCCAAGGTACTACGACACTCTCTTCCTGCCACACCTCACCCGCTACTGGCCTACTGCAGCCCGGACCAACAGTTCATGGGTACACCAGGGGGGAGGTCCCACTTGGAATTGAAAGAGGATTGGATTAACGGCCTGCATCTGGACGTGTTTTACACAGAGATGCAGAACAGCAGATCTATCGTGAGATTCCGCACTTTTCCGCAAACGCGTCCAGATTCAGACCTTCAATCCTATCCTGTTTGCTAGTGGGACCTTGCCCCAGGCACAAGATCGAGCCAAAAGGCTCTGCTTGTCCCTTTTTTAATCTTTTTTTTTCTTTTTTTTTTTTCTTTTTTTTTGGGAAGAAGTCAGGATTCCTTTAGCATTACATCACAGAAAAGGAGGCCGGGGGAATCCTCGCAAACACCGGGCCTGGGAGAATGAAAGGTTCCCAGTTCCGGCCAGGGGGTCGATGCCCCATGGCGCCAGGCCAGTGTGCATCTGTAACAAGGAAACAGAGCCCTCTCCTCATATAAATGATGCTAAACTACTACAATTAAACCACCAGTACTTGGCCCAGCCATTGGCCGCGGAAAAAAAATAGAGTAGAAAAGTTTCTAGTTGGATGAATTCGGGCACTCCTGTAGTGGCCCGTACGTTTCCTAAAATTGCGTAGCGTTAACGCTACGCGACTGCAGGAAGTACTGGTGGTTTAACTAGCCTAAGGATGATTGTACCACCTACAATTCTACTGCGCAACCAGCCTACACGGCGGAGTGGAGCCTAAAAACGGATGCCTGTAATTGTGGCACTCTTCTTCTTTTCTTTTTTTTTTTTTTTTAACCGGGCCCGGTGCCCAAGGCTGATATTACCAATAATAAGATTGAGGCCGGGGTCCTCACAGTCTGCCCGGAGTGATCGAACCGAAACCATTCTGAAAAAGGGACTCCCCATACTGCCTGTCTACCGAGACTTAAGGAACCGAGTGCTCTGGTATCTAGGATGCAGCTGCCAGCCACGGGCAAATCTTCAGCCTGTTCTCCGTTGTAATCGTTGCCAGCTGCATATCTCTTCCCCAAGTTCTGCTGAACCATAGCTGTCCCTGTCTGCCTTCGTCCAAAACGCGCCTGCGCCAATCCGCTTGGATGTAGTGGCAAACTTGTACTTTAATCAGAGTCTTGGTTTCCACGTATGCCATTCCGTGTGCCTCAAAGATTCTTCTATTTCTGTGGTGCCAAATGACTCTACAAATAATGGCTCTGCAAGCCTGAGCCACATAGCCCCATCCTGAATTACCGGACCTGCGTTCTGGCAGGAAGCCTAAGAGCACCCACTCTATCCCAGTCGAACTTCAAGTTCCAGCCAGCGAAGGCTCTCCAATGCTCTTGCCACCATTTCCAGACTCTTTTGGACTCTGGGCAGTCCCACCAAAGGTGGGGGCTGGACTCGAAAGGCCAGCGACAGCGGCCACAGGCCAATGTGACATCCATCCCCCTGCTAAGTAGCCAGGCTGCTGATGGGTTCACCAGCATGGATAGCAACAACAGGATTGACGCCTCTCTCTGCGCAGGCAGGGCTGCCAGCTGTTGCCATAGTCTCCGGAGGGCTACCACAAAGTCCTCCTCCTCTCCTGCCTGAAGATGCTTAGACCATCTGGACCAGGCGATTTGAAACAGGGTCCTGACTGGTTGCAGTCTGGAGTATGCTGGTTGAGTGGTAGTACATCTCTGCCTTCTCCTTGTTCAATCCAGCCCCACCCCCCTGGGTCCAGTCGCAGGTTGCGTATCAGCTTGGTCAGTTGCCAAGGTACGATCTTTCGTGAGCCGTCTTTTGAAATCTGTTCCTGTACCCGCACCTGGTCGAAAGAGAACAAGGGTCTCGGGTTTGTTGTTTGCCTGTCTTCCAGCCATTCGCCAGCTTGGAGGTTCCACACCAACCACCTTCTCTCCCCATCCGTGTCATAGCTCAGCAGCTTCTTGGACCAGAGATTGACTTCCACCAAGGGGAAACGTGGAATGTACCAAGTACCAGGTGGATCTCTGCAATTAGGGGAGAGCAGGTTTTTCCAGGCAGGTGGGATGGCTGTAATCAGTTCCACCATCCGTTCCTCGCAAACCATACTGAGCCAAGTTTGGCTCCGACTTCTGCAGTGGCCTTTCATGGGCCAGTGGATTCAGCAAGCAGATCATTGATCTGGACGACTCCCCGCTTGATCCATGCTTCTCAGAACACTCCTGGGCTTTATTGGTTCTAAATCTTTGTCCCTGAGTTAGAAATATGAGGATTGTCGAAGAGCGGTTGCAATAGCATCTCCTGCTTGGTAGCTGGTTGAGCCCAAGAGTTTGGCTTCACCTTCTTCCAGACATAGACCATGTCCTTTCAGAAAGTGGATGAAACCGTTTTCTTCTGATATGATTCCAACTGAAGACAGAGCCACATGTCCTTAGGTCTGCACAGCTGCCAGTCCTCTGCCAGGAGAGCTTCTGCCATAAGAACCCAGCGGTCTTCTTTCTCGTATGAAATTGCTCGGAGCCTCGGATGAACCATTTGGCTAGTAATGCGTAATTTCGTTTGGCTGGGTCTGATAGACCCAAATTCACCCAATCATCCTTCTTCTCTAAGACTTGCGTTGGTGACTTGCTCCCAGGCTACCTTGGAGATGATGCCTTCCTCCTCCTTTGTCCTTGGCTTCCATAGAAACTTTGCTGCCAATGTACAAATTAATGAACAGAATGAGGGTGAAAACCACCGAATCGTGCCTCAAACCATAGGAGAGAGAATATTAAAGAGAAGTAACTGTTCAGGGCAAGAGCTCAACCAAAGTATAAGGATAATTGGGGAGCCGAGTGCCAAACCAGAAGTCTGACTGATATTCTTGACTGTAGCAGCCGTTCCTGAGCCTCTTCACAGGACTGCTGGGCGATCAGTATTCCCGAGAATCGTTTGGACTCCTCTGGCTGGACTCTCTTCATTCTGAAACGGTATTCACCAGTTCGAAGTAGCTGATGCAGATCCCAGGGCTCGATCCCTAGTTCCCCAACTTACCTGTGTACAATACCTGTGTCAACTCGAAGAATTGAACCTGCGACCTGTAGAACCGCCAGTGGTAATTAGGTCTGTCGTAGGTCTATAGGTAGCCAGGATTCGATCTGTAGACCTGTAGATTAGAAGTCTAGCTGCAGTCCTTCTAGAAGGTCGGCAAGTGGTCAAGTGGTGCAGGCAAGTGGCCAAGTGGTGTGACTAAAGCAAGCCCACGTTGTAGACGAGGACAAGTGGCGAGGTCGAACTGCAGGACCCCAGTGGATACAGGGCAGACCAATGCAGCGCAGAAGTATAAATCAAGAGGCTGCGTCCAGCCATTCATTGATTCCTGCGGATGCCATGCGGAAGCGCTGCCTTAGCAGCTTGTGCGAGGAGGTCTGCAGTGTGCCCGAAGACGAAGTGGGCAGAGAAGTGTAGTGTAGCGATAGGTAGTGGCAGCTAGCGCTGCCATAGCTGTAGCATAGCGTGTGTGTGTGT